ATATTTAGGGGGATACTGCCCCCTCTCCCATATTTAGAGGGATACTGCCCCCTCTCCCATATTTAGAGGGATACTGCCCCCTCTCCCATATTTAGAGGGATACTGCCCCTTCACCCATATTTAGAGGGATACTGCCCCCTCTCCCATATTTCACCTATATTTAGAGGGATACTGCCCCCTCTCCCGTATTTAGAGGGATACTGCCCCCTCTCCCGTATTTAGAGGGATACTGCCCCCTCTCCCGTATTTAGAGGGATACAGCCTATTCACCTACATTTACAGGGCAGGGATACTGCCCCTTCACCCAAATTTAGAGGGATACTGCCCTCTCTCCCATATGTCACCCATATTCAGAGGGATACTGCCCCCTCTCCCATATTCAGAGGGATATTGCCCCATTGCTTATGTTTAGAGGGATACTACCCTCTTGCACATACTTGAAAGGATACTGCCCCCTTACCCATATTTAGAGGGATACTGCCTCCTCACTCATTAACACAGAAGTGAAAGCAGAATTTCCTGCTGAGTTGATTCCAGTACTGGATGAGTAGTTCTGAAAGTCAAGCTGTTTATGGGATACACAGTGGGAGTTGGAGCCTCTATCAGTCATTCCAATTTCAGCTTTTGTAATGTAACCTGTATTTACAAAAAAAAAAATCTAACAAAGTCCATTCGATATGGGCAATGCCTCTACTTTTTACCTTGCGGCTTTTACAATTCATCCCCTTAAATTGAAGCTGGCAAGGAAAAAGAGCAAGTCTAAACTTAAAAATAATGATCTACCAGCAAGCACCTGAAGGTGCCTTCACATATCTCCAGCTGTCAGGAAAACATCTGCATTTGGAGAGTCCTTGAGGTTGAATTGCACCCTGTAGACAAAGCACGACTCGAGCTCGCCAACTTGTTAAATGTACAAAGTGGATGCCTTTGTATTAGATGCAGATGAGTCTGGTTTCCACTATGGGGAAGTGTCATAGCCTCACAACACAGAAAGCTTTAGAAGAAAAGTTATTTTCTTGATAACTGTAAGTGTTTTAAATAGTTTTTTCTTTAAACTTGCCAGATTTAGGTTAGCAAATTGGGTGTGGTACATAAGTGGGAAACTGTATAGTATAATATTAGTGTCCTGTGTCTGGGCTTGTGGTACCCATGGTCCTCATTCCTCTCTTTCTTTATTATTACAAGGAAATGCAAGAAGCAATGCAAGGGCAGTCACTTTCTTTACTGTGCAGTGATAGGCCCCTCCTAGATAGACAAATATATACAAAAGAGAAGGTAGGAAGATGTGCAGTGCTTTTCTCCATCCCTTCCATATTATTGCCTTTTTCTTATTCTATTTGGGTAACACTGGTGTCAAATAACAGAATTATGGTAAGGGCGCCATTAGTTTTGTGCAGGTGATTAGCTGGCAAATGTAAGTGATAATCAATGAAAGAAAATGGGATTCTGCATCATTTTTTTTTTTTCTCTAGGTTTTTCGGGGAAAGCCACTATTTTATTTTACTTTTTAAACCATGCACTTAAAAGTAAACTCCAGGCAAATGGGTATCCAGCCACTGGTTGTTGTATCTAGCCACTTATTAAAGCTGAGCTCCAGGCAAACATCTAAATCCCACTGTTGAACTACCTATACAAGTGCAGTTTAGGTTGCCAAAGGATTTGCTTTTCTGTCCATTCAGTCTTGAGATTTGCACAGCCAACCTGGTGACCTTACTGTTATCTGTTGCAGTTCTGCAATACAGCCTGGTATCCTCCCTTCCTCCAGTCTGTGATTGGACAGGGAAGCAGCAGCAGAAGACTGATAACCTCTGCAGGCTGACCGCTCCTTCTATCAGTATGTTTGTCAGTATGCTTGTATACAACACAGCTGACTGTCTCCTAGTACTGCCCCCTCTCTCTCTTCCCCCCCCCAGTCCCCACAATTCTGCTGTGCAGGAAACTTTTAGACTGACATGAACTCAAACTGAAGTACTTACACTAGTTTTATTTAAATATCCATGTATTGGTGGTGCTTTTATTTCTGCCTGAATTTTAGTGTGGACAGGGCTTTCTTCATTTCATTGAAGTACCTCTTGGCTTTTAATAGGGTAACCAAATACAGTTCAGTAGTCCTTGTATACCACTAAAACCTTTTCCCTCTCTTAGCTCCCTTCAAAGTAGAAATCAGGGCCTTAGGTTGCAGCCCTTACCTCTAATTAGGGGGCCTTACCATTTACATTATTGCCATGCAGCCAGTATGCTTGATATATTGGGCACTAAATCTATGAACTGTGGTGGCATTTAATGTAGATTTTCAGCATAGGCAAATACAAGAGCCATGCGTATTCTTGCTTGGATGTTGCTGTGCTTTGTGTATTTCTTCCAGATCTGTGCATTAACCCCGTGTGAGACTTTACCTCTATGCAGGAGCTTCCTGTAATCAGGACCATTTCCTGCTGAGCCTTGTGCAAGGTGACTGGTCATGTATATGCAGCCTATAGTGGGTGGGGCCTGCTGGGTCCCGCCCACAACTCTGCTCCCTGAACAGGCAGTGTGCAGCACAGCGATGGTGATACCACTACATTTCTAAAGTAGCATCTGCGGTTGGAAAGGCATTTGGAGCACGCAATGTGGATTTATATCCTTTGTGGCTATTAGGGAATATAGTTGAATGAAAGTGCTTGTGCCCGGAGTACAGCTTTAGACAAAGGTGTGGCTATTCCGATGCTTTTGGTGCCACCTGAATTGTTTATAAATCCCACTGGGCTAAATGATCTTTGGTAATGTTCTGATAATGTGACTTCAGTGGGAGTGGTTGTTAATGTATGTGGAATAAAGTGATGAAACCACTAGAGGGCATGGAGAGGTGATCTTGGCAGGCTGTATGGTTAGTTTTTGAGTTTGTCCCCCATGGGA